TATATATCGATAAATATTGATAATTTCCAACTTGAGCCATTTAGCGTTGATTTAGACAGACTCTAAGTCAATAAATTGCTTGAGTTTATTTATATGCGACTTAAGTCAGGTTATCTATAAAGAATGTAGCACGCATCTTTGCCTTGTTGTGTCCAGGGTAACTGCCAGTCGCGCAGACTCGCCCAGCTGAGGCTAACTGGTTTTTGAACTGGCGTGCGTTGGTCAGAGCTTGTTTCACATTTAGCTTTCCTAACAATTTGCTATTATACTTATGACATGCATGTCTCTCCATCTCCCTCTCTTATTTATATATGTAGATCTAGAAACAATTCTGAACTATGTGACTGCAAATGCAGTTGTTTAAGTGTTTTGGCTTTTGTCACAGTTCTGTGAAAAGTTTTCGCATTATAAAAGTTTTTTTTTTCTATTTGTGTGCTCTGAGTCCATCAAAACGGGGAATTCGAGGGCTTTATTAAATTGCTCATAGCAGTTGGAGTGGGACATGTCATAAAGAATATATATTCTTGATTGGGATTAACAAGCGCGTCGATCCAGCCTCTCATTGTAGATAATTTTAAGGCAATTTTGTTTAAAATAATCGTAAATACTCAGGCAACCGATTAAAATACTAAGCAAGCTACAGTTATAAGGCGAGAAATCTCGCTAGTTTAATTTCTGGTTTACTAAATACAGTTTTTATCTTTTTACTCATTCACGAGAGTAAAACGAGTATATTGGCTTTTTGCAATGTTCAGCTAGCGGAGCTTTTCGACGATATTGAAGTTAGAGACTTGATATTTGGAACATATACTCGGCTATACCCTTATAGAGTGTTATGATTTTCTCAATCCAGCCACTAGGGGCGTGACAATTTGGAAAATGCATTTTCCTGTATCTCAGAAACAGTCGAAGTGCTACGGATTTGAAATCTGTAATATATACACTCCTGTCGACAGCACAAGTTGGGGGCGTGGCATGCCGGCATAAACTATATATTCTACAGCGTTAATGCAAGAAACTGAAAATTTGATGACTAAATTACAGTTGACAGCTTCTACTGTTTCGAATAAGTAAAGATTGTGTATGCCTTTGGGCTCTTAATGAGTGTGCTGCAGTCGGTAACACCAGACTGCAAGGTTCTGTCTTTCAAATTAAGAATGTTGCATAAAAATTTCATAAAATCAAGTAAATGACAATTTAATGAAAATCAGGTAAATGACAATTTAATGACAAATATTGTATAAGAGATATATTTATAAGAGATTTAGCTTTTTTAAAGCACACAAATCAAAATGAAAATTCCATTAAAATTAGTTAAATAACTCAAAATTTTTGAAAGGAAACGTGTGGCTAAGCCACGCGTTGGCCATTCTCTATGCATGTGCCCACACACACACACACACACACACACAATCAAAGGCGGGCATTCACTTTTGTATGCTATAAATAGAAGAGAGCTTGCAGCTGAATTGTGTTTCAATTGTCAGTCGTTAGCTTAATTGTGCATTTGTCTGCCGGGGGCCAGGCGTAGGGGTGGCGTTGTGGGAGAGAGGCTGGCGGCGTAATCAGTGTGGCGCCGGTTCGAGTCTCGCTGCTGTCGGCTAATTTCCTTTCAATTATTTATGCTTGCAATCTTTTTATAATTATTTATTTACTATTTTTAATTTTTATTTTTTATTTTTGCGGTGTCCATTATTGAATTAAAAACCCCCCAACTTAGTTGTCACGTGATCATTAAAGTTGATATCTTATCGATGCCATAAATCAAAGTTCGCTCCAATCAATCAGTCTGCGATCTGTTCCGCGTGCGCGGCTCAGCTTCAATCAAAGCATTTCTCCGTAGCCAGCTGTAAAAACCGACTGACTAACTATATTGGGGCTCATAATCATAATCTCTAATCACAAAGTGCCTCGTACAGTATTTGTATCTGACTATAAATTGGGCTTTAACTATGATATGACTTGCATTTATAGCAACTCAATGAGGCTATAGCCGTAATATACCACTGAAGGCTATCCACGTGCTGCATACGTAAATGGAATCATAATACCATATATTTTGGCAAATTGTTTACCATTCTTCAATGGTGAAGGATGAATGACTTTTTTGGATCTTAGAATGTCTTCAAATAAAGCAAAACTAATACAAAAACTATCTGTGCCCATATATAGGGCAGAAAACCCAATACTTTTGCTTTCATTTTCTGTACGAGTATCAGCTTATCTTATGATCTAGTAGTATAACAAGTATTACATTTGAAGAAAATCAAAGTTAGATAAAGGCTATATATAATACATTTTATGATTACTATAGAATCCAGAACTAGAGTAGAATTTATGGGGCTTATTATGTTCGCACACTTAAAAGAATATATATATTTCACGGAATTACTGTCTGTTCTTCCTGCAGGGCTTATTGGTTAACCATATACATATGTATATCCGCACCCACAAGTATTATGAGCAAGTATTATGCAGTCGGTGCCATCCGGCCTCAGCCTTCACTCATTAATCTATTTTGGTACATTCTTAGCCATCGTATAATACAATAGATGTGCTCGCTATCTTGCGAATTCCACGTATATTGTCAACTTGAGTTGCGAATTTTTAAGAGATTTCTTGCAGATTTTTTTTTATTATTGTTTAATTTTTCAAGTCGTGTGACCAAATATTTGTGCTTGTGTCTCTGAGAATTATTTGCAAACATCAACATGACACTAAATAAATCAAATATCAACTCTAGATGCGATAACAGTGAGCGAGCTGAAATTCCAGACCATCAAACTAGATAGTACAACAGACGACGATGATCTGATACGAGAGGCATTTGCATGGCTAAGCGATAGAGATGCTTAGGTAATCTATTAAGTGAGATGTGATATGAAGAATCTAAGAGAGAAGAAGAGAAAAAGAGAGAAAGAGAGAGAGAGAGAGAGAGAGAAAGACAGAAAGAGAAAGAGAGTTTGATAGAAGCTATTGTAGTAAATCCATATGTAGATAGATAACCTTTGCATATATGCTATCTGTCTATTTCCATAGAACAATGAGAAGGAGGCACAAAAAAAGGATGAGGGACGCACAAATTGGTCGAATGGCATAGAGTTCCTCATGTCCTGCATATCCGTATCAGTGGGCCTGGGCAATGTCTGGCGTTTTCCATTTACCGCCTACGAGAATGGAGGAGGTGCATTCCTTATACCATATATCATAGTGCTATTCCTGATCGGTGAGTAGGACAATAATAAATTTCATAATACTCATAATAATGCTCAAAATATTTATTTCTATACAATACTAATATAAAGATTACGTAAATATTGGGTGATAATGATAGTAATAATAATGATAACGATCAATAATGGGCAAACATTTCCGTCAGGCAAACCCATGTACTATCTGGAGATGATAATGGGCCAGTTCACGAGTCAAGGAACGGTCAAGATCTGGTCCATTTGCCCATCGTTTGTGGGCGTCGGCTATGGCCAGGCCTTTGCCACAATCTGCATCATTACGTATTACTCATCGTTGTTGGCCTTGACGCTCTACTATCTGTTCGTGTCGTTTCAATCGGAATTGCCCTGGTCCTACTGCAGGGACGAATGGACCAACTGCGTCAACTCGATACCAACCGAGTTTGTGGAGACGGCATTGGGGAATACTACCTCGGCATTGGCTCAGCAGGCAAACACTTTGTCGAACACTACCAAACTGCAGAGCAGCTCCGAGCTCTACTTCCTGTAAGTAGATCTTTGGAATAGAAATCGGGTTTGAAGACCGTCCATCTTGCTATCCGTCCGCCGGTCTTTTATGACGTCTGTAAATGCTAAATGGAAAATATGTTGTACTCTTTCGTTTGCAGTAACGTTGTCATCAAGGAGAAGTCGGATATATCAGACGGCATAGGTATACCCGATTGGAAGCTAACTATTGCATTGTTTGTCTCCTGGGTCGTCATATTCCTGGTGATAATGCGGGGCGTTAAGAGCTCCGGCAAGGCGGCCTATTTCCTGGCCCTGTTCCCCTACGTAGTGCTCTTCGCCCTGCTGGGCCGAGCCGTCACCCTGGAGGGCGCTGTCGACGGCATCATCTTCTTCCTACAGCCCCAATGGGGCGAACTGTTGAACCCCATCGTCTGGAAGGAGGCTGTCGTCCAGTGCTTCTTCTCGCTGGCCGTCGGCTGTGGCCCCATCATCATGTTCGCCTCCTACAATCGGTTCGATCATGGCATCTACAGGTGAGTGTTGACTTCACATTTAGATTATGTATATATGTATATGTAATAAAGGAAAGCTGGATTAGTAATCACAGGCTATGCTTCAACGTTTCTATATGTCGACATTCATCGACTACTTCGAACTCTTTCAATGAAACATGATCTATCGGATTTTATCCATCAAAGTTATCCTATCACCTCTAGTTTTCGCAACCTCCTTTATTTAACTCTATATATACAATATGATCTGTGGACCTCTATAAAACTTTATTTATCGATAGACCTTATCCGAAGTCTTTTCATTACACTGCTTAACAAGTTTTATCTATTGAAACCTATCGAACTAATGAATATATTTAATCTATTTCTGCCTAATATATTCCTTGTATCGATCTTTGTTTATTAAATATTTTCTATCGATTTCTATGTATGAGTCTCTATCTATGGAACTCTTTCTGGCTGGATTCCAAGAATTGTTAATTAAGTTTTATCTGAAAATTATGTAAACTATTTATTATCGATATCTCTTTATTAATCTCTATCTCTGTAACTAGTTAGCTTAGTAGCAAATTCTTTCTAAAATTTCTTATTTATTGATAGAGGTTGTATCATCAATTTCTATCCATCGGCTAACAGCTTTAGTGCTAAAATAAGTGAAATCCTAAGTGAATCCAGCTTTATCTGTTTGTCTCCCTCCGTTGCTTTCCATCAAAACTCTTTCTTTAATTCCATATCCATTTCTCGACTTTCCTATAGAGACGCCATGATAGTCACGACCTTGGATACGTTGACTAGTCTGTTGGGCGGTATTACCATATTCGCCATACTGGGAAATTTGGCGCATAATCTGAAGGCGGAAAATATACGGGATGTGGTGCGCAGTGGCACGGGCTTGGCGTTCATTTCCTATCCGGATGCAATATCCAAGTTTCAGGCAGTGCCGCAGCTCTTCTCGGCGCTCTTCTTCTTCATGCTGTTCGTGCTGGGCATTGGATCGATTGTGGCGCTGCAGAGCACCATTGTGACCATCATCTGTGATCAGTTCAAGTCATGGAAGTACTGGAAGGTAGCGCTGGCCACATCCGCTTGTGGTTTCCTCATGGGCTTGGTCTATGTTACGCCGGTACGGCTCAAATTTTCCATGGAAACTAAAGTCTTGAATAGCACAATATTTATTTCTCTTTCTCTTTTTAATTGAATAGGGCGGTCAATGGATTTTGACCCTAGTCGATTTCTATGGAGGCACCTATGTGGTCTTCATATTGGCCATTTTTGAACTGTCTGGCATTGTGTGGATATATGGTAAGGCTAGCCGAAGGATAGAGATATTGATTATGCATCTCGTAGATGAGTAAAAAAGTATCTATAGAAGTGACAATACATGAGTATGACAATAAGCGGTAAATGTAGCTAAGCATCGCAAGTGCATCTACCAGGCGATATAGCTGCCTCTACCGGGCATAGCTCTTATGTATGTATCGCATATCTATCTCCCAGGTGATAAAGTAGTCTCTATAAAAATAATTGTAAGTGGCAATATATCTGCCTTTATGTATGTATCTACCAGGCCGTATAGCTGCCTCTACCGACCACTTATGTATTACTTATGTAGCTTACATTATGTAAGGCTAAGTCGACTTGTCCGCATCTTATATCTATCTCCTAGGTGATAAAGTAGTCTCTGTAAAAATAATTGTAAGTGGCAATATATCTGCCTTTATGTATGTATCTACCAGACCGTATAGCTGCCTCTACCGACCATATTACTTATGTAGCTTACATTATGTAAGGCTAAGTCGACTTGTCCGCATCTTATATCTATCTCCTAGGTGATAAAGTAGTCTCTATAAAAATAATTGTAAGTGGCAATATATCTGCCTCTATGTATGTACCAGGCCGTATAGCTGCCTCTACCGACCATATTACATATGTAGCTTACATTATGTAAGGCTAAGTCGACCTGTCCCATCGCATATCTATCTCCTAGGTGATAAAGTAGTCTCTCCTAGCCTCACCTATGTATCTACCAGTCTGTATAGCTGCCTCTACCTAGTACATCTATGTGTCTCACTGAATTGCTTCTATCTGTATTCCGTTCGCAGGTCTACAAAACTTTTGCGATGACATCGAATTCATGAGCAACAAGAAGGTTTCAATGTATTGGCGCCTCTGTTGGTCGTTCTTCACGCCAGTTATGATGATTGTGATATTCATCTACTCGATGGCGACCATCCAGCCGATCAAATACAGTGATCAATACTTTCCCCTTGCTGGAGACGGTAAGCTAGCAACTAAAGCATTTACCAATATAAACAATATATGTATATTGCAACCAATATCTCTATCTAGTTGCGGGTTGGCTCCTCTTTGCTGTGGGCGCTGCTCAGTTTCCGCTCTGGGGCTGGTGGTACATTGCGACCCATAGGCATGGCAGTTGTGCTGAGGTAAGTGCATAGCCGTCGAAGATCTGACAACTCTTATTAATCGTTTATTTACAGTCCATCAAGGCCTCGCTAAAGCCCAGCAGCAAGTGGGGTCCCGCCAGTCCAGAGAACCGTCAGGCCTGGCTTCTGTTCAAGAGCGATTTGGCTGCCAAGCGGGCGAACGAGGCGAAATCGAATAAGTTTGGTTTCTTCCAGCAGAAGCTGCGCAACATGTGCGGCAAATAGAGTCAGAGATTAAACAGATTGTACTATCCTATCGATATGTGTGTATATATATATATGTATGCCTAGTTCTATGCGATTTCGATATGCCCAATCCAAAAGCCACAAATATTTTCCCAATTCTATTTATATCTATATACRTGTACATAATTGTAACTAAATATATTACTAATA